GGTGCGTGTGCGCCGACCGCGGAAGAGCGCGCGGGTGAGGGAGGGGGGGGTGCGCGCGCGCCGTCCTGCAGCGTCGCCGGCCGCAGGCCAAGGAGCTCGGCTCCTCGAGAGCACCGACGGACGACAAATTGCTCCTCAGCAGTGCGACGCCGAGCTGGAGGCTCGGCCGGGAGCTCGCGCGGGCGCGTGGAGCTTTCCGCTCGGGCCAGCAGGAAACGGGCGCCCCGCACAGCGACGCCCGCCGTAGAGTGCCGAGAGCTCGGCTCGACGCGAGCGCCGAGGAAAAGCGATCGGCTCCCAAGCAGTGGGACGCCGAGCTGGAGGTTCGGGCGGGAGCTCGCGCGAGCACATAGCAAGGTGCGTGCGCGGCGGCGTGACACAGGTGAGCGGGCAGCTGGCGCACATTTCGGCTGTGGGAGCTGCCAGGAGTTTGCTCTCTCCGTTCACACCCCTTTGCAGAATTTTCTTCTCAATAACAAGGCTGTGATCAGAGTTCGTACCCGAGCACCAGGGAGCGTCTGCAGCGACAGTCGCTTCAACTTCACGAGATCGAGATTTCACGCAACTCGAGATCCCTCGTCCCTCGAGAGTTCACGCGGAGTCGGCTGGGGCTATATACCAGACAGAACAAGCGGGCGGGGCGGCCTGCAAACGAGAAAACCGACGCGAGTTTTAAAGTATTTTGAAAAGTATGTACATAGATCTACGTTCGGGCACGCCGCCACGCCCACGGCCCACGGGCCGGGCAAGCTGTCCGACATCCACCTCAAGCGCCTCGTCGTGACTTCTGAGACCTCCGCGGCTTCGTCGAGCCGACGGCGATGGCGCTGGCGGGAGAGGCGCTGGCCGATCGCTCGGCTACGGCGGAGGCGGCGGCAGGGCGCGTCCGGTCGTAGTCGAGGCCGGCGCAGGCGTCTCGCGCGCTGGCCAGAAGGGCGCCGGCGCCGTGCGAGGCGATGTGTCCGCACGTCTCGCGCGCGCGTGAACAGGGCCCGCCCAAACCTGTCCCCCCCCCCCCCCCAACTTTAAACCACCATAAAGATCTATCACTATCTGCGAGGGCTCCAGGCCCCAAATGACGTGTGAGTGTTAGAGTTGTTTGGTATTGGCTTTAAACCACCATAAAGATCAGTCTGCCAGGGCGGGGCTCCAGGCCCCAAATGACGTGTGAGTGTTAGAGTTGTTTGGTATTGCCCAGCGGCGGGTTGTGCCGCCATCCACACGGGTAAAAGCACTGCACAAACGTCGCAAAAGTCGCCAGCCACGCGGTGTGCTGGCGGTAGGAATTTGACGCCGCCCTCGCCACGATCGCCTTGGATGCGACCCTGCTCCAACGCCACGTCATCCAGCAGCGCCTTGTGCTCCGCAGTCACCGTGATGCCGTCGGCGCCTTCTCTCCGCACCATCTGACACATTTCATTTCTACTTTTATTATAGTTATTTTTTCATTTTTTATGGCGACCCCTCGAGGGAGGCCAGGGTGGCCAGGGCAGCAGTCACAGCCTGCTGAAAAAAGTGCGCCGCCGCGCGCACTTTATCGTGCGGGTCATTCTCGGAGTTGTCGGGGTCGTGGTAAGCTCCCGCCTGCGTTCGGCCGGTTGGAAGACGTCATGGCGCGCATGTGCGACCCTTAAGAACCCGCGTGCGACCAGAAGGTCGGCCCGGGCTGTGAGGCGAGGCTGAAAACAGCCAAAACTGGTGGATTTGTGTTGCTGACAGTTGAGGGCGATCCAGCGTGAACTGACGGCAGGTAAGCCGGCAGGTGGGGGGCTGGGATGTGCCGGGTGGATCCCCAAGCGGGCGAGCCGGGCCCGTGCATAGTTCGGGCGCGGGGGGAGCATGAGAAAGACGCACCGGTCTCTCTTGATTGCCTGATTTTGACGATTCTCGTTGGCACCGTCGCTCGGAGCGAAATCCCAAAACCTCTCAGCTCAAAGGGGGGAATTTATTTGTTTGGGCAGTGTTCGACCGGGCTACGAGTGCGCGGGTACGCGTGTGCGTGCGGGCCTGCGTGTGTGTGCGTGTGTGCGTGCGGACGCGCAACATGGTAGCGTGCATTCTTACCAATCATTCTACAACACACGCACCCTGAAGCTGCTGCCGAAGAAGATCGAGGTCTTTGCTGGCCAGCGCGTCGTCGCCGTGTCGGCAGGAGAGGACCATAGCCTCGCCCTCACCGCCGACGGCGCTGTCTTTACCTGGGGCGCTGGCACGCATGGATGCCCTCTGGGGCCCCCGCGTTGGAATGCGGAGCTCTTCGCACTCTCTAGGGGTTGGAGCGATGTCTCGCTCCACTAGTACCTCGCACTTTCGTACTCTCTGTTTGTCTTGCGTGACACTTGTGCCTCCACACTGTCCAGTGTGACTCATCGTGTCACGCACGCCGATGCGGCTCGTTTAGTTGTTCGTCGGCGGCTTCCAGCTCTCTTTCTGTTCTGTTTTTGCACTTGGCCTATACTCTCGGCCTCCTCCGCGCGCCGCCGGGCGCAAGTGGAGCCCTCGTGCTCCCCGGAATCAAACGTAGTGACCCGTGATTGGTCGAACTTCAACCGCGCGACACATCTAGGGTTGCCTAACGTTAAGAGCTGAACAGTGTTGCTAGTGTTAACAGTAACAACAGAACAACAGTGGGCCCCCCCAACAACAGTAGCTAACGTTAGGCCGACTGAACAACAGTATAAAGGAAGGCCTGGCAGTGACCCACGACGATCTCTAGTGTCCAGTGCGGGTAATACCCGAAATACCCGGAAAATCCCAGGTATTTTCGGGTTTTACCCGGGTTTTTTGCCATTTTCTGCTTGCTGACCACTGAACAACAGTAACAACAGTAACAAACAGTAACAGCATGGGCTGGGGTGAACACTTGAACAACGTTGAGGATTTCAGCCAACACTAGCGCAACTGTTAGGCCCAAAGTTAACGTTAGGCAACCCAGCCACACATCCCCGCGGCTGAACGCTGACCGTCAATCCTTCTCCGTCGCAAGACACCAGTCAGAATCTGCTCCATGGCCCGCAACCAGGATTTCCACGCTACTGGCTTGGCTCGCCATCAAGCGCTACGGGCTCTCGTAGTTGCAACCTGGGCTGCGCGTGTGCATGGCCTTCACAGTCAATTCCGACCCGACTATCAGATCCCGACTGCAGACCGACTGAATGAGGTTTTCCGAATCGGAGGAACAATCAGCTGGGCTGCACTTCGCTCTGGGATCGTCCACAACTCCTACGCCGCTGCTGCTTCACTACCACAGCTCGCGCTAGACGCCTGCGCCGCCCTCGACTACGAGCGGACGTGCTCTGCCGCCTCCGCCGGAGCCGAGCTCTCGGCCAGCGCCTTTGCCACCAGCGCCGTCGCCGTCGGCTCTACCGTCGAGGACTCAAGTCTCGCCTTCGTCTTCGAGCGTGATGCCTCGCCTCGCACGGGCGGCGCTCTTCTCGCCAGTGCTCGAGACGCCTGCGCCAACCTCGACTCCAAGCGGACGTGCTCTGCCGCCTCCGCCGTAGCCGGGCGATCCGTCAACTACTCCCCCGCGCCTCGCCTCCGTCAAGGGCGACTCTCGAATGTCAACTACTCTCCCTCCTCGTGCCGCCTTCGGCCTTGTCCGCACAGGCGTCGCGATCTACGATACAGCCCCGACGCCTTCAGCATCGGTCCTGGGGGGGGCGTCTGAATTCGGACGCCTGTGCTACCCTTCACACACGCTACACACTGTGTACTATCGATACTCCAGCATCACACCCTCTGTGCCACAATCGTGTCACGTCGACGTCCCTTAGTCGGCGCGTCTTGTCTGTCGCGATGTCCTAGACTTAGAGATCTTTTTATTTTATTAATTATAAATTATAAATATTTTATATAAATAAAAAATTATATTATAATAATTTAATATAATTTAAAATATAAAAAATAATAAAAATTTTCCACTTTTGAGGTATATGAGCAAGCGCAACGCCGTGCCACTTCGACCGATCTGACAGACCGGTGCGGCGCGGCGAGTGACCTCCCGGGCATCACCTGGCTGCCAGTTCGAGGGCTAGTGGTCTAGTGGCATGATACCCTCTCAGGGTGGGGGTGGTCCCGAGTTCGATTCTCGGCTGGCCCCTCTTTTGTTACCCCCCTCCGCGCCATTCTTCCCCCTTTTTCCCACTGCCCCTCTTTTGTTACCCCCTCCGCGCCGTTCTTCCCCCTTTTTCGCTGCGCCGTTTCGCACTTTTCCCCCGTGTCATCACCCCCAAACCCACATTCTCGGCAGCCCCCCCCCCCCCTTTCGTGTCACCCCCCCCCCCCCCCTCGACCCCTGAGCCCTGAGGACCCTATCCAGTCGCTCAAGTGCTCAAGTGGTGCACTCCCCTTCACCGTTCGCGTTCCGCGTGGTGTGACACGAACGAGAGAGAGGCAGCCCAAGTCACTGTGATCCTAACTGTGCGTGCTAGATTTCTTGCTTGCTCCTAAAAATCTCCCTCAAACGAGTGGCGGGAGCGGGCGGGGCGTAAGCGGTGCGGTCAACGTGCCTGACGGCGCTGAGCCTGGCATAGCGGGTGGGGACAGGCCCTTAATGCCTAAAACGGCGGGAGGGGTAGCGGGTATGTATGTAACTAGTGAGAGGACTCGAGATGTGTTCGAGATTTGGGCGGTCGTGCTTTTCGGCGGTCGTGGAGGTCGTGGAGGTCGTGGAGTGGCGAGTCACGCTCGGGCGGACAGCACTGATGCCGTCGCCGGACGCGGCGGCGAGGCACACGGGCGACGGCGTGGCGCGTCGGCAGGCCCACCACGAGCGGATGCGCGACGAGCGCGCTCGGGAAGCGGCCGCGGGTGACGCGGAGCTTCCGCCGGAGGACGACGCGGTCGAGATGGCGAGCGCCGTCCACGTGCTGGACAGCGTGGCGGAGGTGGGCCCGAACTACACGCTGCTGCGCAGCAAGGAGACGAAGGCGAAGCGGCGGAAGCGAAAGCGCGAGGATGCCAGGGCGGCGCTCGACGGCCACACTGTCCTGTCCACCGGATCGCGCCTCGAGATCTTCTGCGACAGCGAGCGGTGGTACCCTGCGACCGTCATGGCGCGGGAGGAGGACCGGGACGGACGGATCGTGCACGAGGTCGAGTACGACGGCTACTCGGATCGGCGGTGGTGGCACATGCTGGACGACGAGCGGTGGCGAGCCGTCCCAGAGCAGGCCGGCACGGGCGCAGGAGGCGCCGCCGCAGACGGGGATGGGGATGCGGCGATGGACCGCGCGGACGGCGAGCGGGGCGCCCGTGCCGCGGGCGACGCCGAGGCGGCCGAGGTGCGGCCGGCGCCGCCTCCTGTGCGCCGGGGTGTGCAGCGCAGCGCGCTGGCGGACGCCCTCGAGGCGGAGGATGACGAGCGGCAGGAGGAGGCCGCGTGCGGCGATGGGCGGCCGATGCTAGCGCCACACGGGCCGGCGCTGTCAGTGCAGCTTCGGCGCGTGCGCCTGCGGCTGCGCGAGTTCCTGGCGACGCAGGCCGCGGCGGGGAAGAGCGTGCCGATGCAGCGGACGGCCCTCGGTCTGCACCCGACGATGCGGTGGACGATCCGCTTCGGCAAGTGGCTGGCGACGACGCGAATCACCGCGCCGAGGGCGAGCCGGTGGCACGCGACCGAGCGGGGCGACGCGCGGGACGAGGAGCCGACGGTGCGCACGGGGCGCGGCGAGAACACGGTCTACGTCGCGCTGCAGCACATGAAGAACCACGTGTGGCGCGAGATCTGGCCGGCGATGCCGGACGACGCGAGGCAGTACTGGCGGCTGGTGACCAAGCAGGTGATGTCGCTGTACGACGGCGGCGGCGGCGGGATGAAGGACGCGGCAGGAGCCGCCGGCCGGGCGGCGGGCCGCGAGGCGGCGCAGGAGAGCGCGTCGCACGGGCAGAGTGAGGCGGCGCAGCGGGCGGCGAGCGAGAGGGCGAGCGCGGTGGCGAGCCGGCGGACGATGGCCGAGCTGCGCGAGGCGACGACGAAGCCGTGCACGAAGCAGCACCTCTTCCAGGTGGGAGAGTACCAGATGCAGGACACGTAGGGCTATATCGACAGAGCTAGAGGGCTCAGCCACCCCTCCACCCCTCCCACCCCTCCACCCTCCCGGAGCGAGAGAGGTCGCTCCGTCCTCGAGCGTCCCACTTCCACCCCTCCGATCGGAGGGCTCGCCAGCCCACAGGGCTGGAGGGGTCCCCGTCGGATCGGCGTCGGGAGGGCTCCACAGGGCTCACCCCCTCCCCGGGTCTCAATCCCATAGGCTCGGACTGGACACCAGCGCGGTTCGTATGGGTGGACGCTAGACCAGATGATGTCGACACACGCATGAGCGGCACACAGACAGCCAGCTGGCTGCCACACGCCCTGAGTTGGCGTACACATAACTGTGTAGGGAACGATCAGGGTGGTCTGACCGTGCTTGGTCGAGGTGCCCTCCGTAGTATCGCGAGGCGTCCCTCTTCCCTCGTTTGCAAAGGGATCGGCATCTGAACCCGAAGGTCGGTGTTTTCAGCAAGTGGTGGTGGTGGTAAGCCGTGTGCGCGGCTCTGCGCACTGCGGTATTGTTGATCGCGGGTGAGGCTGCAAAGCCATCCTTGATCTCCGGGTGCCGTCTCAGACGACTGTAGGATTGGTATAAGGAACTCGTATCCGAGTGGTTTGGGGGAATGGTGTCATACGACACCGGGGGCTGTGACTTAGCACATGAAGAGGGTTGACTGTCTCGCAGCGCGCGGCGCAACGACCGCAGTTGGGGAACTATTACGTGCCAATGTTTGGGCGCCTATTCGGCGCCCAAGGTGCTAATATTAGGGGTCTAGGTAGACGCGCCACCGCACAGGGTGTGGGAATATAGGGATATAGGTAGACTATTCATCACTACGGGGGGGGGGAGAGAGAGAGTGATAATAATAGGGGTGCTGAGGTCTGTGGAGGTGATTCTCCGGGTCAGTCTGGAGGTCATTCTCCACAATCTCCTGCGACAATAACTCAGGGCCACGTTCTCCCTGTCGCCCCCCCCCCCGCCCCCCCCCCACACCGGTGCCAAGGACAGAGTAAAACAGAGAAGGGTTCCGCCCACCCCCCTCGCAGCTCCCCCTGCAGCGAACGCAACACGAAGCGCCTCCAATATGCGGCCACGACCTCCCGCATCACTCTCCCGCGCCGCTGCCCTCAAATTCGCATCGATTCCTCTCGCAGCGCTGCTTGCTTCGCCGGCTGCGCCCGCGCGTGCTGTCATCGGCGAATCCATCCTCCCGGGCTACCTGCAGGCTGATGACAAGTCGTGGGATGTGACGCTGCCGGCCGCGTGGAAGGCGTCGACCGCAGACATGCGTGCAGAGCCAGAGCACCGCTTTCACTTGCGTGCGGAGAGGAGCAGCGGCGCTGCCGCGAGCCTCGACGTCTTTGTGGACGTGGCAAAGGGCAAGCAGTTCCTCAGCGATCTCGGCAAGGTTGACGAGGTCGGGCGGCGGTACGCGGAGCGGTTTGGCACGGTGCAGCGCGCCGCCGCCGTGCCGGGCCCGGTTCGCGGGAGCACCTACTACGAGTACGAGTTTGCCGGGAGCACCACGACCACCCGCGCCAAGCTCACCGTGTACCAGAGCCGGCTCTACATGCTGCTTCTCACGCTCCCGTCCAGCGCGCCGGCAGAGGTGCTTGCGGAGGCGGACGCCATATCCTCCTCCTTCAAGGCCTTCCCGGTCAACATGTTTTGCCTCGCGGCCTCCAACGGCGGCACGGCGCCCACGCCCGGCACCTGCTACTGAGAACACTGTCAGCACACATATACGTGCACATGCACATGCAATTGTGCGACATGGTCCGCTAAATAATAAATAAATAAAAACGGACACCTCTCTACTGTGAGATGGGTAAAAAGGAACAGGTCCCCGCCCTTGCGATCTTTGTGCAGGGTTCTTTGTGGGTGTGGTCGGCGACTAGCCGGGGTCGTCCTCCCGATGGGGGACTAGCACTAGCCGTCTTCCACACCAGGTCCCTCGGGTCCCTGCTGCTCCTAATCTCTTCGTACATCCTCCTGCTGATCTCCGCAAAGTCCTGCTCCCTCCCTCGTCTCGCCCTGCGCGTCTGCTCCGCCTCACCGTCTTCTGCCCTGCGTCGTCTGGCGACGGGTCCTCCATACGGCTTTAGTCGGTCGAGGTCGCCGCCCTCCTCGTGCCTCTTCCCAACGTTCCCTCGGCGGCCGATGCCGTCTGCTCCGGCTCCCCAGTCCCCGGGTCTGCCCTGCTCTCGTCTGCGCTAGTTTCTGTTTCGTCATCACCGGCGTCTCTCCTCTGCTTTCTCCCCTTCTGGTATGCTTTGCACATCGCGTCGATTCCTTTTCGCGTGAGCACCAGCCTGAAGCCCGCCCAGACATGGTCCGCTCCCCCGCAATCCGCGCTGAATTTATTGTATGGCCGTTTATTCTCGCGTGTCCTCAGCGCCTCGCCAGTCGGTCGGGGCAGGCTGGTGTATCCGTCTCTCGCCGAACAATTTTTTTCGCTTTTTTATACGGCTTGCGTAGGGTACCGGCCTAGAGCGCCTAGGCTTAAAAGGGTGGGCCCTGGGGCGCCTGCGGTAAACGGCTTAAAGCGGGCCGTGGCCCATTTTAAGGCTGCCTGGGCCGCCGATTCCTTAAACGGTCTTAAACGCTTCAACGGTGCGGGAGAGCTCCCGAGGTCGATGGTCCGGGCGAGGCTCGCCCGGTAGACGCCGGAGCGGCCGGGAAGCTGGCTACAGTCAGCTAGCACGCGCCCCCTATGCGAGTATTGCTCCTGCCAGTGCACCAGACTTACAGATTTGTCTTCAGAGGCGGGTTTGTGCCTAATCGAACGGCAGTATTGGAGAAAACGGCGCGCGGAACCCAGCGACGCATGCGCCGGCGAGGCCGATTTTCTTAAACGGTCTTCAAGATCTCTCCAAATCTGCCCTCTGTTAGACCGGGTTAGATCGGGAAGTCGGTGCTAACTGAGACTAACGGAGCCGGGGCCCCGTTTCCGCACTGCTGCGCGGCGCACGGTGCCTCCGGGGGCCCCCGCCTCCCCCCAGAGGGGCCGGATTTTTTTAAGACCTTTTAAGAAATGAGGAGATTTGGGGGCTGAAATTACCATTTAAGAGATTGCAGGCACGGGGGGTCCCTCTTTTAAGACCGTTTAAGAAAATCGGCCTCACCGGCCATGCGTCGCTGGGTTCCGCGCCGTTTTCTCCAATACTGCCGTTATTAGGCACAAACCCGCCTCTGAAGACACATCTGTAAGTCTGGTGCACTGGCAGGAGCCATACTCGCATAGGGGGCGCGTGCTAGCTGACTGTAGCCAGCTTCCCGGCCTCCGGCGTCTACCGGGAGAGCCTCCCGGACCATCGACCTCGGGAGCTCTCCCGCACCGTTTAAGCGTTTAAGACCGTTTAAGGAATCGGCGGCCCAGCAGCTCTTAAAACCTGCCATGGCAGGTTTTCAGCCGTTTAAGCCGCAGGCGCCCCAGGGCCCACCCTTTTAAGCCTAGGGGTCCCCTAAGAAAGAACTAGAGGCTCTGCTTACATCTTCGACTCTCTGCTACGCCGTACCGCGTTACGCGGTACCCGGTAGCCGGTACCGCGGTGTAGAGAGGCTGACCGAAATACACAGAACACACGCGCGCAGCGCCGATGTGACATGTGCATGCACATGCACATGCACATGTGTGTCCGGTTACACAGTAAAATGTAGATAGCTGCGCGCGCTTCTACTGTGCACGCGGGCGCAACACGAACATGGCTAGTCCAGCATAGCACATGCGAGGGCACCGGCGCCGCGACTACAGACATGCTGCTACCGTACATGCACATGCACATGTACATGTCATGTTGTTGTTGTTGTTGTTGTTGTCATGTGCATGTTGTTGTCATGTTGTGTGTCATCTGAGATCTGTTATGTGTGTGCCCGTGTGCCCCCTACGCGCTACGGGGGTACTACGGCTACGCGGACCCAGTTTTTAGAGTTTACAGTTTTTGTTGGACGTGCCCGTTTATTTGCATGTTACCACCGAGCCTCACTCATCGCACCTGCTGCATACAGAGGTCGGCCTGCTGCATACAGAGGTTAGGGTTGTCAAACGTTAATTTGGGGCCTAACAGAGTTGGCAGTTGCACTATTGTTGGCTGAAATCCTCAACGTTGTTCAAGTGTTCATCCCAGCCCATGCTGTCACTGTTTGTTACTGTTGTTGCTGTTGTTCAGCGGCCAGCAAGCAGAAAATGGCAAAAAACCCGGGTAAAACCCGAAAATACCTGGTATTTTCCGGGTATTTTCGGGTATTACCCGCAGCCGCGCAGGCCGCACCACTGGGGACACTAGAGATCATCGACATCGTGGCACGTGGGTCACTGCCCCGCCTTCCTTTCCTTACTGTTGTTCAGTCGGCCCTAACGTTAGCTACTGTTGTTGGGGAGCCCCACTGTTGTTCTGTTGTTACTGTTAACACTAGCAACACTGTTCAGCTCTTAACGTTTGACAACCCTAACAGAGGTCGGCGCGGTTGCGATCACGGTAATGGTTTCGGGTCACTTGGCGGCAGCGGCGCCCTTGCGCTGATTCAGAAAAGCGCCGAGCCGCTTGGTGACGTCCTCCTTGAGCTGCGCCGCCGCGTGGCCCTCCTTCGCGCGCGGCGGCGGCGGCGGCGGCGGCGGCGGGTGCTGCGCGCTGCTGCTATAGTGCTCGCGCTGCATCGACGCGAGCCGGAACTGCAGCGCAGCAACCTCGGACGCGAGTCGGCCTCGCTCCTCCTCGGACGAGGCTAGCCGCTGGGTGAGCGCCTCGGCCGTCAGGCGCTCCGCCGGCGTCATCGCTGCCTCGGCCGGAGGCGGCGGCGGCGGCGAGAGCGGCGAGAGCGGCGGCTGCTGCGGCGACCGCGGCGAGGCGGGAGGCTGTTGCGCTGCCGCGGCGGCGGCGGCGGTGCGGCGGTTGGCGTGCAGCGCCTCGGCCTCGAGGGCCTGCACCTCCTCGAGGAGGGAGAGGACGCAGACCATCGCCTCTACACCGCCGCCGCCGCCGAGCGGCGCCGCCTCGCTCAGCTGATGCCGAAGAGAGGCGCGCCTGCAGGGGAGGGGGGGGAGAGAGGGTCCCCCGCCCCGCCCAGCTCCCGCCTCGCCTGCCCCTCGGCTGCCCCTCGGCTGCCCCTCGGCTGCCCCTCGGCTGCCCCTCGGCTGCCTCTCGGCTGCCTCTCGGCTGCATCTCGGCTACATCTCGGCTACATCTCGCCGCAGCCGGATCTCCGATGCAGCGAGTGCGTCGCTCGCGTCTCGCAGCTGCAGCCGCAAGCCGCTCGCCTCCTGCTGCGCGGCGGAGCGACGCGCGATCCGGGCCTGCTGTGCGCCCAGCTGCGCCCTCAGCGCCGACACCTGCCGCACCAGCAGCCGCTGCCGCGCCTCGGCAGCAGCCGCGGCGGCCGCCGCCTTTGCAGCACGCGCCGCCTCCGCCTCCGCCGCCTCCTTGAGGGCGGCAACCTCGTCGCGCCGCGCCGCGCCGTCGGCGTCGCGCCGCGCCGCGTTCCACTGCTTCTGCAGGTACTTGACCTCGCGCCGCAGCATGATTATTTGCGACGCCGCGCTCGCCAACGTCAGCCCTCCCGCAGCGCCGCCCTCGTCCGGTGGCGGCCCGACCGCCTCCGCCTCCGCCGGCCCGCCGCCCACCGTGCGGCGCCGCATCTCCTCCGTCGACGAGGCCGCCCTCAGCGCCGCGCCGCTCGCCGCCCTCTCGCTCGCCGCCCTCTCCTTCTTCAGCTGTCCAGCGAGCGCGCGCAGCTCGCCCTCGAGGCGGCGGTTCTCCTGCGAGCGAGGTGCGGGTACGCGGCGTGTCAGCCGCGGCCCGCGACGGACAAACAGAGCGCGGCGGCGCGAAGCGGCGCGCCTCGCGCAGCAGCAGCGCCTCAGCGGAGGAGCAGCCCTGGTCCTCGGCCGGCGGCACGTCGGCGGCAGTGGCGTCGCCGTCGCCCGCCGTCGCGTCGAAGCGGTGCCGCTCGAGCTCGGCGAGCAGGCTGCGAGCCGCTGCCTTGGCCGCGTCCATCCCTCCCTGGCACTCACGCAGGCAGCCCCGCAGGCACTCACGCAGCCCCTGGCACTCAGGCAGCCCCACAGGCAGGGGCTGTGGGCACCCGAACTGATGCCTACCCCCTGTATCGTAGAGGTTCACGAGCGTTGAACTCCGCCACATTTTTACGACGCGGTCGCCCTCTGGCGGGCTCTGCCACGCGATGGCACCCTCCAGCACACTCGGCCTCAATCGGTCAAACTCTGTTACAGTGAAGGAGTGCAGCAGAGTGTGGTTGAGTGCAGGTGGGAATCAAATAGTCGTCCGGTTGCGCACACAGTCAGCACACGAACTCGGCCACACTCGGTCACACCCAGAGAATCCGTTGGGACGGAAGCCAGAGCGCTGCAGCGCTCTCCCACAGGCAAGCAAACTCTGCCGCACTCAGCCGCACTCAGCCGCAATCTGCTGCACTTTGCTGCACTCTGCTGCACTCTGCTGCACTCTGCTGCACTCTGCTGCACTCTGCTGCACTCTGCTGCACTCTGCTGCACTCGGCCAGTCAGTGGCGTGGCAGCACACACAATCCACCGGCACGGTAGCACTGAGCCACCGCACGGAGGCGCGGGCCGCGTCTCCCCGCCAGCCCTCTTGTTCGAGTCTCGCACCCACCGTGCCGGCGGCCCGGCGGCCGCCGCGCCTGCCGCCTCCTTCCTGAATGCACAGCCCCCGGTTCGCGCCGGGCCGTTCTCCGCGACCAGTCAGAGCAGCCTGTCCTACTCGGTCACGCGACGACAGCGGCACGCGAGCGCGGCCCTCGCCACGGCCGCGCCACAACAAGAGCTGGCCAAAGGCTGCGCGGCAGCGGCGAGACGCACATCGCAGCGGCCGAGGCAGCGCGCACCCGCCGAGCGTAGACTGCCTACACGCAGGCCGTGCATGTGAGCTCTCCAACGTACGCGCCGTGCGGCACGACCAAAGACCGACGCCTATCCGGCGAGACAAAAGAGCACCGACGGCGACGCCGCACATCCGTGTAGGTGTTTAGGTGCACGTCGGCCTCTCGTGCCGTGCGCAGGAAGAGAGAGGCGCTGCCAGAAGCTCGCGCGGGCGAAGTGGTAGAAAGATCGTTGGGGAGCGCCAGGCCAGAAAGCCCGACAGCCGTCGAGCGCTCGGCCGGCGCATAAAAAAAGAAAACCTGTTCGCCTAAATACTAGTGGGCACAGAAGGAGGGGTGTGGCTTGCCACGTTGGCGGATACGCACCTAGGCGAGAAGGAAATGCGCGAAGTGATAGAGTACCTAGAGACGATGGGGATAGAGGCGTGCGGGACCCCAGCCTACAATGACCCGGCCTCGCGCGCGCTCAAAGCGGGGGTGTTGATTGTGTGGGACCCAGACCACCTGCAAGCAAAGAGAGACGGGAAGGGTGAGGTGGCCATGGAAGAGGTGGTGAGAGGTCGCGTCGTGAAAGTGGAGATGGAGGACGCGGCAAGCGGACTGGAGTGGACACAGATAGGAGTCTACATGCCAGTGAGGGGACGGGCTAAGATAAAGGTGGCGGCGAGGGGAGGAACGGACGACACAGAAACAAAGGACCCAGCGCAAGACGCGTGGGAGAGCCTAAGGGACGAGCTAGACAGAATCGACGGGGAGTACATGATCGGTGGAGACTTCAACGCCGAGACGGAGGCCTTCCTACGAAGCAGAGGTAGAAAGGAACGGACTCTCTCAGACAAGATGTTCAACAGCATGCTGACCGAAGTGGGGCGAGACCTGAGAGCGATGGCGAACGACGCAACGTACCGGGCGGGCACGCAAATTGACAACTGGATAGTCACCGAGGGCTGGATAGATGAGCGGTCCCGGACGACGCATCGACAAGAGGCGCTTCAATCGCGCTCATGAGAATGTGGTGCGCTACGTGAAGCGGCATCAGCTCTTCGCCCAGGGGCGGGCCTTCACGCATAGCGTTGAGGAGCTTGCCACAGTCATGAAGATGGTTGGCCACGTGAGCGCCCTGGAGCTGCGCCGCTTCCAGCGGTTTCGCTCGTTTGGGCCGTGGCCCCACTAGTAAATAAATATAAAACGGACATCCCAAGCTAGGCCTAGGGCTGGGGTTGAGGACAGACACGTCCCCACCTTTGCAGGATTTTTGCAAGGGCGAGGGAGGGGGGGGGGGGGGGGGCGCATCGCGGCGTGGAGAGGGCTGGGCACAGGGCCCACTAGTATTTAGGTGAAGAGTTTTTCTTTTTTTATGCGCCGGCCGAGCGCTCGACGGCTGTCGGGCTTTCTGGCCTGGCGCTCCCCAACGATCTTTCTACCACTTCGCCCGCGCGAGCTTCTGGCAGCGCCTCTCTCTTCCTGCGCACGGCACGAGAGGCCGACGTGCACCTAAACACCTACACGGATGTGCGGCGTCGCCGTCGGTGCTCTTTTGTCTCGCCGGATAGGCGTCGGTCTTTGGTCGTGCCGCACGGCGCGTACGTTGGAGAGCTCACATGCACGGCCTGCGTGTAGGCAGTCTACGCTCGGCGGGTGCGCGCTGCCTCGGCCGCTGCGATGTGCGTCTCGCCGCTGCCGCGCAGCCTTTGGCCAGCTCTTGTTGTGGCGCGGCCGTGGCGAGGGCCGCGCTCGCGTGCCGCTGTCGTCGCGTGACCGAGTAGGACAGGCTGCTCTGACTGGTCGCGGAGAACGGCCCGGCGCGAACCGGGGGCTGTGCATTCAGGAAGGAGGCGGCAGGCGCGGCGGCCGCCGGGCCGCCGGCACGGTGGGTGCGAGACTCGAACAAGAGGGCTGGCGGGGAGACGCGGCCCGCGCCCCGTGCGGTGGCTCGATGGCCTGCTGCGCCCGGCGGCTCCATCCGTGCTGTGTGGTCCAGGACTATCCGCCAGACTCAGCCGCACTCAGCCGCACTCAGCCGCACTCTGCTGCACTCTGCTGCACTCTGCTGCACTCTGCTGCACTCTGCTGCACTCTGCTGCACTCTGCTGCTATCTTCCGCCCTCAGTAATACTCGGCCACAGTCGGGCACAGTCGGCCGTGCTCATGAACACTCTTCAATGCCGAACGAAGGCACCCTCTGACTCCACGGACTCTGCCACACTCAGTCACATCGAGTGCCAGGTGGGAAGGGCTCATCTCGGGGTCGGGGTGCGTGGTAGAGTGTGGCCGAGTGTGGCCGTGCCGAGGTTGGCCTTGTTTACACTCTGCTACAGTCAAGCACGATCAGCCGCCCTCGGTTACACTCTTTCTGGCTACGCCGCTATCTGCCCACCTCGGCAGCTGGGTAGAGTTCAACTCTCGTGAACCTCGTAGTTATGTTCCTGATACGACCTGTGAACGTGAACAGAGTGGTACCAGCACTGTGGGTCGTTGCGGCACGCAAGGGGGGCCTCCCGGACGTATGATCCTAGCCCAATAAGTTCCATGGAGCAGATTTGGATTTTTGACAGAATTAATGCACTGCCCCCGCACGGTACTAACTATCGTAGTTTTGTTCCCGGTGCCCTTCACGGCACCACACCGCCGCTTGACAGCCCGAGATTAGCCTAGCAGTGAGTGGGCATCGCCTGCCGGTCGGCTGGGCACGAGCCAAGCACTTGGGCGGCCGTCAACCGAGTCCGGGCGGCGCCTGAGGTGGGTGCCACGGCGTCTGCACGAAGGCGTGGCGGGGTGAGGAGCCAGGGGTGGTGAGCACCTCCCCGTCGGGCGCGCGGCGCGCCGGATGGTCCGCCGAGGCCGCCGCCGCCCCGGCGGCGGCGATGGGGGCGGCGGGGCCGATCCGGCCGGCGTTTGTCGGCTCCACCTACAGAAGAGCAGTCTCTGTGGGTCGACGATACTAACTCGGTAGTAACGCGGAGCGGTGCTGTGCGACGCCGCGTCGTGCGCGAGGCGACCTCCTGAGGCCACCTGAGCTGGCTATGGATGCCACCAGGACGCACGGCTAGCAGGAGCCAGTCAGGCATGCCCTGCTGTGGAGCAGAGCCGGCTGGCGCACCGGCGATACTAACTCAGCACGCCGCGAGAGGCGAATCTGGGCGACTTTGGAGGCGCAGTTCTCGAGCTTGCCGTCGTCGATTGATGTCGGGTAAATTGTCACTGCCGTCCGGGCAGGTCTTCTCTCAGCAGGCCGAGCGCCGTGGCCTGGCTCGGCTCGCCGCGAACGCCGCGAATTTATCAGGAACAAAACTCAAGAAAAATGACTAACAAAGACTGCGATACTGGGGGTACTTTCTAAGTATGTAGCCCACAGCCGACTCCGCGTGCGTGAACTCTCGAGGGATCTCGAGTTGCGAACTCTGTTCACACCGAGCAGCTGGGAGTGGCTGCGGCTATAGCAGACAGCTCTCTAAAGGGGACGCGATTTCAAAAAAGAAATTTCCCCGGTGAGCACATCGCGCGGCGCGGCCCGAGATCGCCCGAGATCGCGCGGTTCTGCGGCGCCTCGGCATATCTCGGCGTTGCGACTCGAGAGCGCCGGCGTTGAGCCTCGTAGGGGCCGCCGGGGTCTCGATTAGGCTGAATATACTTTTCCTCTCGCACCCCGTCTCTTTTCCTTTCCTTTTTTCTCTACAGCACCCTCTCTTTTCCTCTCTATTTTCCCGGGGAAACCATCAAATTTTCCGGGCTCTGAGCCGAGTCTGAGGCTGGTTTGGGGCCGGCCCAAAATCAGCCAAATCGGCGAAATACCGGGTATTTTGCGGGTATACCTGGAAAACCCCGGGTATACCTGGAAAATACCCTGCGACCGCCTGGCTGGGTATCGTGCCGATTTCCTCAATTTTGCCTCAGATTTTGCCCCAGACCAGCTCTCAGACTCAGGGAAACTCGCGAGTTTCCAGAATGGAGCACCAAACACCCTCTGTTTTCCCTGGAAATTTCCGGAAACGCAAAGTGCTGGGGACCCTCTGTTTTCCTTTTTGTTTTCCGGAAAAGTATATGCAGGCCAAGGTCTCGAGCTAGGATCGTACAAAGATGTAAGGTACAAAAGCCAGAGCAGCTGCTGCACGCTCGCTGTTCGGCAGAGCCGAACAAGGAGGACAGGCGTGACACAATCGAGAGAAGAAACTCATGTGAGACAGAGGGTCACGCGGGACACGAGCAAAGTGCCAAGGGGGCACCACAGAGAGTAGTTACTATCTCCGCATTCCAACGCTCGGGCTCGGCGAGGTGGATGGGCTGGGAGCGAGGGGGCGGAAGTGAGAGAGAGAGATTTTTAGCAATACCAAACAACTCTGTTTGCGGAAGTGTGCAGTGCGGTAGATGGTCAGCTCGGCCTCGGGGCTCGTGAGCCGGACTTGGCCGCCCGCAAAGGACTTGAGCTGCTCCACGCGGCCCGGGGTCGCAGGGCAAGGCTCCTGGAAGGTGTACTTTGGGCCCTCCGCGCCGCTGGCGAGGATCGCGAGGTCATCGCGGCCTCGGACAAAAACGGTGCCTTTGATGTAGACGGAGCCATGTTCAACGAGGCGTTGAAACTGTCCGGTGCGCTGTATCCAGCCTTCGAACTGTGAAGCACAGGAATGCCGCCCGTCTGCCTGCGCGGCAGCGAGAGCGGAGCGCCATGCTTGTCCCTCGCAATCGGGACGGTCGGTTGTGTCGAATTGTCGGTGGTCGGCATCATGTCTGTCGGCAGTGAGAGTGCCGGATACCGATCCTTCACTGGGTCACCACGTTGCGACTCGAGAGGAGGCGCCGGCGTTGAGCCTCGTAGGCAAAAGCCAGAGCAGCTGCTGCACGCTCGCTGTTCGGCAGAGCCGAACAAGGAGGACAGGCGTGACACAATCGAGAGAAGAAACTCATGTGACACAGAGGGTCACGCGGGACACGAGCAAAGTGCCAAGGGGGCACCACAGAGAGTAGTTACTATCTCCGCATTCCAACGCTCGGGCTCGGCGAGGTGGATGGGCTGGGAGCGAGGGGGCGGAAGTGAGAGAGAGAGATTTTTAGCAATACCAAACAACTCTGTTTGCGGAAGTGTGCAGTGCGGTAGATGGTCAGCTCGGCCTCGGGGCTCGTGAGCCGGACTTGGGGGCCGGACGGCTTTCATTTCTCTCTGCGTTCTCGCACATGGAGTGCGAGGTATATCTCGTCTGTCGCCGTCCCAAACTGTCACTCCCCTTTCTCCCGGCCGGGGTGGGGCGCGCGCGCGGGGGCGGCGGGTGTGCGGGATGTCTGTGGGCCCGAGAGCGATATGCCATGTCCGCCTTGCGTTTGGGTGGGTGGTGGGTGGTGTGTGTGTGTGTGTGTGTGTGTGTGTGTGTGTGTGTGTGTGTGTGTGTGTGTGTGTGGCTGTGGTGGTGTTGTTTTTCAAACATCGAAGGCCGCTCAAAAAGAAAAGAAACGAGCCGCCCTGCCCGGCCCCGGCCGCACCCCCATACAATTGTATGGCGCGTGCGCGCTCAAACTCCTCCTCCTCCTCCAGCGAATCCGAGCCTCGTCGGAAGCGGCCCAAGCACAAGAAGGCGCGCCGCCCGTCCGCCTCTTGTGCACACACCCTCGCCCGCGCTCCGCACTCTGTGACGCACGCTGCCCGCCCGCCCCAGGAGAAGAAGGAGAGGCGGTCGTCGAAAAAGGACAAGCACACGCACAAAAAGGAGCACAAGCACCACCGCTCTCGCGCCGCGCCGGAGGCCGCGCCTTCCGACGAGGACGGCGCTCCGGGGCCGCCGCCGCTGCCTCGCTTCTGGAGCGACAGCGCCGCCGCCGCCGCCGCCGCGGACAGCGTGCGAGCGCTCGCCGCCGGCCAGCCCGAGGGTGCGGCCGGCGTGCTGGCGCTGCTGAGGACGCTGGATCGCGGCGAGGCGCTCGTCCTTGGTGGCGAAGGCGGCGAGCAGGGCGGCGGCGGGCCGGACGCGGCTCTGTCGGCGCTGCTCCGCCGGCTGAGCGACGCGCTGGGGCTGCAGCGGACGCCGCTGCCTTCGGGCGACGTTGCCTTCCTCAAGGGACCGGGTCAGCCGCCGCTGGAGGGGGCCTTCGCGCCGGTGCTCGGTCAAGACGAGGGCGGCGGCGCTGAGGGCGGCGGCGCCACCTCTGCGGCCGGCCGCCTCGGGCCTGCCGAGGAAGCGGCGGCACGGGAGGGGGCGCAAGGGGCGGAGGCGGGCGGCGGGGCGGAGGCAGGCGGCGGGGCGGCGCCGGCGCCGGCAGGGCTGACCGAGTACCTTCTCGCCCAGGAGCCGGCGCCGTGGTGGCAGCGCGCGGCCGAGCCGCCAAAGCCGCCTCCGCCGGTGGGGGCGGAGGGGCCGCCCGCCGCCGCCGCGGGTCGGGAGGCGTGGATGACGTCGCTCCCCGCGGACCGGCACGGGCTGGGCGGCGCGGCGCAGGCGGGGCCGCGCCAGTTCGCGCGCGACGAGCGCGAGGTGTTCGGCGGCACCGACGCGAGCTGGACAGCGGCGCCGCGGTCCGAGGAGGGGGCAGGCGACGGGGCCGGGGGCGGCGGCGGGCCCGCCCGGATCGGGATGAGGGAGGAGCCGGACGCCGGGCGGCCGATGAGCTTGGCCGAGGCTGCCGCGCTCGCGAGGGCAAACGCGGCGGCGGGCAAGCGGCCGCAGCCTCCGTCGCGGGCGACGGCGGCCGGGGTGGCGGGCGGCGAGGGGGCGGGCGGCGAGGGCGCAAAGTCGCTGGTCGACGTGCACAAGGAGCTCAAGGCCAAGGAGAAGAAGGCCAAGAAGGGCGGCGCCGAGTGGGCGGGGTCGCACCCGTGGAAGCCGTGGAACCGCGAGACGGACCTCGACATCCGGCAGGTGCAGCCCAAGGGGATCGACTCGGTGCTCAAGAACCAGCACATGGGCGAGCTGAGCAGCCGCTTCGGCTCCTCCTCGAGGGAGACCACCTTCATGTAGCGCCACGTCTCTCTCCCTCTGCGCGTGTCGCGTGGGCTGCCCCCCATTCCGGCATTCGTTTTGCCCCGCTCTGGTGTTGGATGTGGGCCCCACTCTCCCGGGGCCCGTCACTTTCTCGACGCAGCGGCATTTCGGTGGTTTACATTGGTAGACGCGCCACAACGGACCACACAGAATGCACCACCAAAACTGGCGCGTTTACCCACCCCCCTCCACAGCCACATAGGCGATGCACATACGCCACATACGCCACACAGCACACACACACCGCCGCAGCCTCACAGACACAGTTCGGGGGGCGGGCCGGCGGCGGGCGCAAGGCCAGGCGCCTGTCAACGCGGGTGCTACCGACGAGTGCACTCACACGTGACGAGGACGCGGCTGGCGACTCGCGCAGGGTGAGCCGAGGTGCAGCGGCGGTGTTCATTGCGCCGCGGGCGCGGCCGGCATGAGAAAGCGTGGAAAGAGCATGCCGGAATGCTCGTCCCCGGTCTGGTACCCACCTGCGGGCAAGACGAGGCTGCCACGTCAAGACGCGGTGGAAGGTGCGCACGGCTGGCAGCAATGAGGGGCTACATGGGGGGGGGGGGGGGGCTAACCCGTGGGCGCCGGCCAGTCGGCCAGGGGTGAGGAAGGCGCAGCCGGAGCCGCGCTGGCTGCCTTGAAGACCGGGACGAGGGCGAGCCCGGGTGCGGGCGACAGGTCCGGGTGGGAAAGCGCTGCCGCGACGGCCCTCGAACGCTTGCTAGGCATCGCGATACTAGTATCGCGATAGGTTGGAACCGACAACCTCCCGAAACCGACAATTGTGTTGCTGTTGTCGCGGTGTACGTACTTGTATCTCGGGGAGAGAGAGACGTACGTTATCTCGGTGTATTGTTGGCAATTGTGTTACGGCACGCGAACTTTCAGATTGCGACGCAATTTTGTGTTCTTTAATTCAACTTCCAAAACGCGATGTGCTGGTGAACGCGGCTACTAATCCGTAAAAAGAATTCTAAACCCGCGAAGGTAGGTTGGATAAATAAATAGCCGTCCTCCCATCCCTCCCTTGGGTTGTCTGTTTTCTTTCTTTCTTTATAAATAAATAAATAACAAATATGGACTACTGGACACCCGAGACGGTGGCCCAAGAGCTGAGTTCCCGCCCCCGTAAAGCCCAAGTGGGCGCGTAAGGTTGGCCAAGATCGGACCTGGAAAGATACCCGACCTCCCATACACCATACTTGGAAAGATACCCGACCTCCCATACACCATACTTACATGGACGTGGACACTTTACTTAGTTAGGATTTCCTACGCAAATCAGCTTTTGCAAGCGGGAGAGAATGGGACACCACAGGACCGAGCGTCGAGCTTGGATCAACGGGGTGGTGGAGCGCGCTAGATAGAGGGACGTGTCCCAACCCACACGTTGAGAGGGACACTTGGACACGAGCCGTGCGAGCGGTGGGAAAGATTTGGGCAGCCAGGTTGTACGGCGCCAAAGCGGCGTGCGCGCGGCGGCAAGGCCAGCCGCGCGCGCCGGCTCGAGAACTTCCGGCAGCACCAAGGCTGCGGCACCTGCGGCTGCTCCTGCGATCAAGTGGGAGCAGCTCGCCCACGGCCTCTTGCGTCAGCAACGCGCGACTCTGCGCGACGGCGCGCGAGCGGCCTGGGTGCGCATGCGCGCCACCCGCGCGAAGATCGGCGCGGCGGTGCGGAGCGCGTGGAGGTGTGTAGGTCTCTGCTCGCGCGTCACCTCGAGTCCCCTTCCCACTGCTTGATCCAACCCTTGGCCCTCTGATGTCCAGTGCAGCACATGTACTCTTGGTGTGTGTGCTGCAGGGCCCTCCTTGTCAACACCTACCTACCTACCTACCTGGTTGTACGGACATTATTCAAGCAAGCGTGGGGCGTGGCACAAGATCCTCCGGCGGGCGCAGTTTCGCCGCAGAATTAAAGCCATTCGAATGCGGACCCTACCAACATGGAACAGGTCAACGCGGACCCTTACCGTTAATGTCAAGACAAGTCCGCTTGCCTACTCACGGCACGCTGAACTCTTTGCTCTGCAACGCCTGACGCCTCGGAGCCGCCTGCCCGCCCTAGTGTCACGCGTCCGGAGGTGGTGTCGAGCGGTGTCGAGCGGTGTCGAGGGGTGTCGAGGACAGCACTATCAAACTATTAGCCTAATAACGTAGCTAATTATTAGCAGGTAGCTAATAATTAGCTTGTTATTAGCTGATTCGCGTTATTAGCTCGATGGCAGCTAATAAGCGGCTAATAAGCGGCTAATAAGTGGCTAATAATACCTAATAATCACCTAATAAGCGGTGCCTTGGCTAATAATTAGCTTAATAACAACGTTATTAGCTACCTGCTAATAATTAGCTACGTTATTAGGCTAATAGTTTGATAGTGAGGTGTCGAGTCCTTGACACGGACGAGCATTGGTTTCAGCTTAGATGGTGTCGAGGGGTGTCGAGGGGGTGTCGTCTGTCGAGTTGGTCGAGTTGGCATGGGGTGTCGAGCTGTCGGGTGACGAGTCGGTGTGTCGAGGTTTGGTGTTGAGGTGTCGAGGCCAGGGCTTAGAGTTTGGCGTACATGGTATCACCCCCAGCTAGCAGGCTCGCTCGGCAATCAATCCTGTTACAACAGAAGTCGAGACGGGTGGTTGTGAGAACCACTCCTCGCATGCATAATATTGCATGTACGATTGCGACAGTCCGAGCTTCGAATCCGAGCCCGGCTGTTCTTCACCTCTCTACGACTCTCCTACCACCTAGGGCCTGGTTCTTCTTCTTAATTCAGGTGGCGGGGGGAGTGTCGCTAACTAACCAAAACAGGACACAAAGGGCTTCAAGTCTCCTAACTAATCAAGTCTCTATCTCTCTAGCACACAGGAAAGATAAGTGAAATAAAAGGGCTCGCGCACTTGAAGCACTTGGAGTGCGGTCGGCAACCTCACACCCAGGGCCCAGGAGCTATGAAGCGCACCCAGCGGGCCGGATGCTCTCGGGGACGGGCTACGAGCAAGAAAGCCCTGACCTTGGGGGGTGCACGTTTGCAGGGAAGGCCACCCCCCTGCGCGCGGGCCTTCTAAGCCCGCGGGTAGTCCCCCCCCATCCCCAGGGCCTCCAGGGCTCGCACCTCAACCTCTCACAGGCCAGCGGGAGGAGTGGCATCGCGTCGAGGACTTTACCATCGCTACGCTCTTAGCTGCGAACCAGAGGGCTCCGCCCTGCCGTGCGGTCGGCTCGCCGTCCTGACATGCTATTTCTCCTGCTGCTCGCCGGCATCCTCGCCAGTGGCATCCTGGCCGAGCCCCAGGTGACTCACCGAGTCTTCATGGAGCTCTCTATCGGTGGAGAGCCCGCCGGCCGGCTTGAGATTGGCCTGTTCGGTGAGCATGCGCCCAAGACGGTGGAAAACTTCCTCGGGGTAATCAAGGGCTTCACGTCGAAAGGGTCGGGCAAGTCGCTTGGCCTCCGCGGCTCCAAGCTTCATCGCATAATCCCAGGGTTTATGGCACGCTCCTCAGCAGGGTTCTTTGCCCGGCACGCCCACGCCCTGAGCCCTGCGCCCGCACGCACAGGCGCAGGGTGGGGATATTACTCGAGGCGATGGGCGCGGCGGCGATTCCATCTGGGGCGGCGCGTTTGACGACGAGTCCTTTCGCTACAAACACTCCCGTGCTGGCCGCGTCTCAATGGCCAACGCGGGTCCGAATACGAACAAGTGTTTGCGCCTCCCTCCAACGCGCACGCGCACACACGCGCGCGCGCGCGCGCGCACGCAGCACACTCATGCACACACGCCCCGCGCCCCGCGGCGCCACCTGCATCAGGTCTCAGTTTTTCATCACCTTCAAGGCCACACCGCACCTCAACGGCAAGCACGTTGTCTTCGGCCAGGTGGAGGGCGTTCCCGCGTCGGGCAGCCATCCCGTCTTGGCCAAGCTCGAGGCCGTCGGCTCGCGTGGAGGCCGGCCCTCGGCCGAGGTGAAGGTCGAGGTGTGCGGTATCCTGCCAAACGCACACTCTCACGAGCTGTGAAACATTCGCACCTGGGCTGTTTTTATGACTATGTGGGACGTCTGCGACTGCCACGTCCTTGGAACACTCGTCGCTCTCCGCGGCTTGTTCGTTCTCTTGATAGATGTAACGGCTGTGCATGCTAAATGGGGACATATGGCGTTTTTCGCGCCAGCACCGCCGCGGCTCGCGCTCCGCAAAATCGGCTCATGCGGGGAAGAGTTTGTGCTCGACGCCAGCGTAACTGAAGGCCTCTGGGTGGGACGGTGGCGAGAGCGGGTGGCGCTGTGGTGTGATGATGGCGGCCGACCAAGCCGCGCCTCGCGATTGCACGCGCGCCTGGCAGTGGACGAGGCCGGAGCGTGGTGCCTACATGATAACAAGTCGGCGAATGGCACGTTTTTGAACGGCGAGCGAGTCGATCGGGCGCCACTCAAGCCGGGGGACCGCGTGGGGTTTGGCACCAGCACAGAGGGAGCGGGGGCATCAGAGGGTGACGCAACCCTTCCCCACTTCCACTTCACGGTCGTGGCCACCAAGAGCGAGCGTTCCGCGTGCCAAAACGAGGGTGGGCAGGGTTGTGAGTCGTGCCCGGAGTCGATCACTGACCTACCACCAGCCACCCCGCTCAGTCCGCTCCCACCCACGCCACTCGAGCCGCCGGCGCAGCAACCAACTCCGGTGCCGGTGCTAGCCATGCAACCACCAGCTAATCCAGCTGGGTTGCGGCTGGGGGTGGGGAGGATGCCACGCGCCGCCTCCGTCATCAGCGCTGCGGTCGGCGCCGTGTGTGGGCCTGAGGAATCTCCAACGGACGCCGAGGCCGCCGCTGAGCAGGCGGCATGCGTGGCAGAGGCGGCGGGGGCGCACGATGAGAGAAAGGCGCTCCTCTCGCTGCTGTCGCATGTGCGACGCCACGCTTCTCGGGTGCGGTCCGAGCGAGACACGGCGCTAGTCGAGGGCAAAGCCATGCTCGAGGCGATCATAGACGAGCTTCGCGCTGTCGAGCAGCTCCACCAGCTGGCCGCAGCCCCGGCGGCACCGGCAGGCGACGATCGCACGCTTTCTATCTCGGCATCGGCGTCACCGGCGCCGGTGCCGGTGCTGCCACTGTTATCACCGAATCTTGAAAAAGAGGTGCTGCCAGAGATACGGCTTGTGGCGCAAACATCAAGGCGCAGCGCCTCCTCAGCAGCGTGGCCGGCGTTTGGAGAGGAGCAGCAGAGAGAGGAGCAGCAGCCCGAGCGGCAGCGGCGTCCAAAGGAGAGCGGCGAGATGGAGGAATTGGCGCGTGCACGTGAGGCGCAGGCAGCTGCGAAGCAGCGCGTCTCTGTCCTCGAGGCCGAAGCCTCGCGGCTGCGGGAGGCGCTCGCAGGAGCGGTGCAGCAGGCCGAAAAGGCTAAGAGCGAGGCTGCCGCCGCTGCCTCGGAGGCCGCCGCCGGCGCAGTCGAGGCGGCTCTAGCCGAAGCGGCTAAGGCCAGGGCCGCCGCAGCTGCAAAGCTACGGGATGCGCAGGCAGACGCCTCAGCTGAGCTCGCCCTTGCGCACGCGGAGATGCGAGATCTGCGCGCGGCACTCGATTCGGTGCTCGGCGAGGTGAGGCTGGCGGACGAGCGAGCGACAACGGCGGAGGCGTCGCGGTCCCAAGCCCTGATGTTGGCTGCAGAGGCGACGGCTGCGCGTGAAGCGGCGGTTTCGGAGGCTGAGGCGGCCACAACATTGATGGTCGAGGCTTGTGAGCGCGCCGATGCGGCGGGTGCCGTCTGCGAAAAGCTCCCTCGCCTGGTGCTCGCGACCCACGTTGAAAGCCGAGCACGTCCTGCCTCCAGGAGTGAACTTGCCATTGTATGGCTTCTTGACGCTGCTCGGGCCAGCACCCCCCACACGGGGAGCAGGGCTCGGCGTAGATGGTGGCGTAGCTGGTGGCCCCTCGGCCCGCGGGGTCCCCCCGCGTGTACGAAAAAATGCGACCCCGGGATAGTGTTTGGGCATCACTCGCTCGGCCTCCTCGTACATGGCGGCGGTGTGAACCTCTTCTGTTGCCTTGGCCAGTGTAATCCGTCCGCCCGACTCCTCGATCTTGCGCAGGTAGACGACGAGCAGGACGACCGCAAATTGCCAGGTGCGATCCCGACGGAGCACAGAGTCGTGCACGACGAGGTAGATGAACTCGCACAGCGGGATGGCCGGGATAGAGACGGCGATGGCCAACATGACAAACAGGTTCAGACACGCCGCAAACTCCGCCTCCGTCTTGACATAGGCAATGGTAGCCTTGGTGCCGCCTCCCTTTCCGGTCACGGTGGTGACGTCTGCGCGATCGCAGCTCTCACCCCGACTGATGAACGTGGAGACATTCGCCCAGAGCAGCGACATGGAACCGGTGACGCTCGTCCCCTCTGGTCCACTGAGGCCGTCAGACTCGGTCGCTGAAGTGACATATTTGAAGCCCCCTTTCAGGTAGTCCGTCCACTTTTCTTTCTCCCTCTCGAGCAGCGCCTTTGCGGCGTCGTCCCCCGCCGTGTCGATCGCCTGGTCAATCTCTTCGATCACTTGCTGGATCTGTGTCGCCGCGTCAATCTGGGAGATTCTCCCAGTTTGCATTGCCGCCGTCACCTCGGATGGTTTTGTGGTCCGCTTGATCTCGAAAGTCGTGCCCTTCTCGGGTTGGCGGTGCAGGGCTACAAAGCGCTGCAGCATTCCCCCTCCCAGGACCCGCAGGAACCGTGGTCGGAGCAGGTTCGCGATGGTCATGGTGCTCACCGCCGCCGTGCCGAGGAGCACTTTCGCGTTGTTAGCCACGACAGTGGCGGCGGGGCAAGTATGGGAGGTGTCGTAGTCGCACGACGCGAGGTTGCCGCCGCACGTCGGGCACACAGCATCTGCTGCTGCAACCAGGAACGTGAGGAAGAACAAGAGGCTCCCGATAAATGCCCGGCGCGATTGGCCCACATACCGTGGGATGAGCAGGGACAGGTAGTCGCTGCCCCTGGTGGTCGAGGGTCGCGACCCCCCCTTCTTGTCGCCCGTGGTGTGGTGCTCACCCCCACCTGTCAGCAACAGAACGTAGGCCGTGGTCACAATGAGCGCGGGCAGGACGAACTCGAGAATCGCCCTGGGGTACTTGGAGGGGCTGGTGGCGGTGAGAGCTGCGCTCATGACGCAGCCGGAGGCCCCGCCAACCGTAATGGGTAGGCTGAGTTGGTCTGACTCCATGGTGAGGTTGTTGCCAACTAGCCCCGGAAAGCCTTGCATCAACACGAGGCAAAGGGCACCGACTGCGGGCCACGAGGCAAAGCCTCGGCCCCACGAAGGCCAGCCCATGTCCCAGACCATAGCTCCCGCGTTCCCGTCGGGCTCCAAAGCAGGCATAGCACAAGCCGCCGCCAGGCGCGCTTGCGAAACACCGACGGCAAACGTAAATTCGTAGGCGCCCGACGGAATTCTTGCATTTTTGCTCCCGGCTTAGGGAGCAAGCAAGCCCACTCAACCCCAAGTACTCACCATTCTTACAGTGGTGTAGCTTGTGCAGAGGCTGCAGCCTCTGCTGGGGCGGAATGCGCGGGGTTTTCGGCGCGATGCCCTCGGCGAGTACACGCTACAGCTGTGCCGCACGCTCTCCTGCGCGCGCGTGACGTGTGGGACGCGTGCGCTGCGCTCAAACGTCGCGATTTGGCGATAGGCGCTCGAGCCGGCGCACAGCGGATAGGTGCGCCGCGCAGGGGGGGTCGGAGGGGTGCGAGAGGGGGCGTGGGTCGGGCGCGCACCGGCTGGCTCCGGGAGCGGCCGTCACGTCGAGGAGTGGGACTGTCGACGGTTCAAGCCCCAAGGGGTACCATTTTAGTGGGCGAAAGACAGCCCCTCTTCCAAGCCGGCGCGTGGAGGCAACCCCCGGCCGGTTTCGTTGGGGCGGGGGCGGCCCAAGTTTTATCCCCCCCCCCCCCCCCCCGCGCCCGCCCGCCCGCCCGCCCGCCCTCAGGCCTTGCCCCTCCGCAGGCGCGGGAGCGCTCGCCGGCGAGCACCTCCTACCTCTCGTCGCCCGGCTGCTCCCTTCCCCCGTCCCCCCTCTCCTGACGCGCACCCCGCGCAGACGGCGCTCCGGGACAGACGGAGCAGCGACCGCGCGCGCGGTCGCTGCTCCGCCCCTCCGTCGCGCGCGCCGCGCGCGCGCGCTCTGCCGCCACTGCCGCCGCGCCCCCCTCGCCGTCTGTTTCCCGCCGTACTCGAGTATGGTGTGCGGTGCGCGCACGCGCAGCGCACACAGCAGCACCTCCCCACACCCCACCCACCCCGTCGCGCCGCCGCCGCCGCCCCCGCCGCCGCCGCCGCCCCCGCTGTAGGTGTAGCGTTTGGGGGGGCGACTGGCGACGGCAAAAATGCAAGCCCCGCCCCTGGCCACTGTTAATCCCGATTAGGCGCCCGCGACACACTGAATACCCCGGGCGGGCCTCCGCTCCGGGGCTGCTCTATCTCCATTGTCTGCACGCAACCATGGTTATGCCCTTCACACCCCCAGCCCTCGTGTCACCGTTGTCCAACACCTTTTGGGTGTCACACTGCAGCCTAGCTTACGCGGGCACACGCAATGCATGCAGTCACCTGTGTCGGTGCGGCGACGCGAGGGCGCAAAAAGAAGACCAAGCAGGAGCTGGAGAAGCAGCTCGATGCCGATCCCGCCTTCATCAAATTTCAGGCGGAGCTGGCGACCGGCGGCAAGATCCGCGCGTCGATGGTCCCCAAGCTCCTGAAAACGGTCGACAACCTCCTCTCCAAGGAGTACAAGATGGCGCTGCTGGAGTCGACGCAGCGACGCGCCAAGGACCCCTCGGCGGTGGTCGAGGCGGTGCGCCAGGAGGCGCTGCGGAAGCTCATGCACGAGGAGGATCTCTTCTTCGACGAGGGCGGCCAGCACAACGAGTTCACGATGAAGGAGCTGCACGAGCGCCTGGACGAGGCGACGCAGGCGCGGGACCCGCACCACCACCCGCAGGATGAGCAGCCGGGATGGAGGCTCCCATTGCCGGGCGAGCGGCCGCCGCGGAGGGAGGACCGAACACGCCTGCCGGGGCCGATGTACAATTTGGCACCGACGTAGGGTCCGCGGCGTCGGGGCGTGCAGGGTACCTTATCGACCCGCCGCGCGCGGGTGCACGCTCTCGTTGGGAAGCGAGCAGTGAATTAGCAGTGAAGGTAGGTGTGGGGGTGAATCCGGTATAGGTGCGCACGTGTGTGCACCTTTTTCAGTGTACTCTCTCCTTCTCTCTCAGTGTACGTACTTTGAGCTTACTGGGAGAAGAGGGAGAGGGGGTAAAAGAAAGAAAACAGACAACCCAAGGGAGGGATGGGAGAGGGGGTTAGTTAGTTAGTTAGGAAGGTGAAGAACACTGAACAGCCAGGCTACCCCTAGTCGACCTCCGCCTCCGAGGCGGACGAGGGCGACGGCGCCGGCGGCGATGGCGGGACCAGCTTCGACCTGTTCGGGCCGGACCCCACCCCCATGGAGGACCTTTGAGGCCCTCCCCAGTCTCACCCCACCTTACCTCTGCCCCCCCCTCCCCCCATCCCTCTGCCTCCCATAGGGCAGGATAGCACTAGCATATGCGACTGGGCCCACATAGATGTGACCCGCCCACTCGAGTGCGGCGCCCAGATGCTAGTGCTTGAGAGGACACCACAAACGCGGCACGGCCCGTTTTGGATGTCTGCGGAGATTCTGTCTTAGCACACACAGTGAGTCATTCGGAGTCATTCGATGGCCAGAGTGCGATTGTGTGTGTGCGGGAGTTGGTTTGTCGGGAGGGAGGGGCAGGCTGCTCACCCACGTGCACCGGGCCAGTGCTTGCACTTTGAATGCCGTGGGGCTCCTGCCCGTGTCCGGGTGTGGAGATGCGAGGGTCGCCCCCCCTTGCCCCACCACTTTGTGTGTGTGGAGAAATTTACCTTACCTTACCTTCTAGCGGGAATTTTTCACAATATCGCAACCGCGATACCGCGCGATATTTGGCGATAAAATGCGATAAACGGCGATGTTGTGCGATGCTCGCGATCACGCGAGCCCTTTCATAGCACGTCACAGCGACGGCGTGTGAAGCGTTACAAAGGGACGTGCGCCGTGGACCGCCAGCGTGGAGCACATCGTCCTGGCGCTTCGCTCGCTCCGCTCGCGTTGCGCAGCTGGATCTGGCTGCCTACACACCTCGCGGCTACCTTGCACATGAGCGTCAGCTTGTTCTGCAGCACGTTCGCCGCCTTCCAGAGGAGCTCGCCGACCCCCTTCCCGAACCCACCGAACGACTCGAACAGCAGCAGCCGCACGTCGACGTCCTTCGTTGTCCTCCCTGGCGTAGCGATACTCGCCGCCATAGGACGGTATGCGGCGGTCGCCGCCCACCACCCTCCCCCCCCTGTATGCCAGCGACCCGTCTCCCCTGCTCCCTCTCGCCCTTGCTCTTCCTCTCCCCCTCCATGCCCTCGTGTGAAGAAAGAAACCGATGACGTCGCGTATGATCAAGACACCGCACCTGGGCGTTTCCGCGAAAATTGAGAAACCACGGCGCGCCTGCGCCGCAGGCGCGCCGGCTGCGCCGCCACAGCTTTAGATGGTCTCCACCGAAAACAAAGAAATCCGCGGCCGCGTCCGCCGCCGCCCGGGGCGAGGGTGGGCGAGGGTGCGCGAGGGTGCGCGCGTGCGTGCGCGAGGGTGCGCGATATTGCGCGACATATTGCGCAATATTGCGCGATATTGCGCGATATTGCGCGATATTGCGCGATATTCGGCGATATTAGGCGATCAATCACGATACACCGAAAATTCCCGCTAGACTAGGGGTCAGGCTCCGGACTGGGACACCGGACACCAACGCGGTACGGCTTTATCCGAGTCATGGGTGGACGCTAGACAGACGATGACGACACGCATGAGCGACACACAGACACAAACAGGCTTACAAGACACACAGCCAGCTGGCTGCCACACACCCTGAGTGTTGGCGTACACATAACTCAGGGCCGCCACGTCCTCCCTGCCGGCTGTCGCCCCCCCCAGCACACACGCGACACGGTGGTCGGTGCCAAGAGTACAAACAAGGGCACAACAACACAACAGACGACAGGAAGTAACATGCGAGGCTAGAGCAGGCTGCTCCGCCTCTATCTAGCAATCTCGCCGCCAGCCGCAAGGCATGGACG